ATCTGCTGTAAGCTAGCTACAATTATGAAACAGACTAACTCTACCAACAGTGACAGTTGGACAACTTTATAATCCCCGAATGTCAACTGAATTATTTTGGGCGCGTTTGGCACCTGTCGGCCACCGTACCTAACCTCCCTTGTACATGTTGCACTATTAACTTTCTGTTTATTTGTACAGAGGACTGAGATAACTTTCACACCTGTGTGTTTGTGTTTCTCAAGGCAGAGAAGGAGAGCCCAGGTGTAACACAGGATATTGTTCTGAAAATACTGGAGAAGAAGAACATAAAAATCGACTACCATGAGTCTCTGCTTCGTATGGCTGCAGACGATGTGGAAGGTAGGATGCATAGTGAACGGAGGGTGCAATGTAATGCGTCACATAGAACAACAACAACTGTGTTGCTCAAGGACAGTTCAAAACGCTGCAGAATGATTACCAATTCAGCCCCGTTTGTATTCCTGTTATTCCCTGCCTTTGTTCCATGAGCTCAGTCCTCCACTGGGGGGAGCTGTTTCCCCACAAATCAACTGCTCTCCGTGTTCTTAAATGTTCCATCTTTCTGACTGTAATTGATTTCTTTGTGCCGTGTACAGTGATTGATGGTAGTAATGAATTCACACGTGCATACACACACACACACACACACACACACACACACACACACACACACACACACACACACACACACACACACTTTTGATGAATCTTAAATGTACCTCCTGCATGGCACAGCTTTAATCCTACTGTCACTTTAAAGTGCGCACACAATTGTGTATCACATTTGATACATTTTCACTGTTATGAATTGCTTTGTTTCAATGTGCCCTGCAGCTATGTGCAGCTGTGTTGATGTGACGCCGATGAGGAGTGTGTGATCTGTGTTTTTTTCATTTTCTTCCTCTTGATGTTTCCAGAGTTCATGATTGACAGGCGGGAGCCGGAGTTTCAGGAGCTGAACGAGAGGGCCCGAGCTCTGAAACACATCCTCAGCACTATTCCTGATGAGATCAATGACAGAGTAGGCTTCCTACAGACCATCAAGTAAGACAGCTCAGTGTGTGGGTGCATTATAAACCAGATTTAAGTCAATCTAAAAGGTTTCACTCTTGTATTAGTTGCCTCAAAAGGACTTCCAATCGTTTTTTCTGTATCAGTTAAAAGAAAGATTGTGATGAAACAAGTAATTGCATATAAGCACAGACATAAAAAATGATTTATTTCTTTGTGAAGTGAATTTTGGAAGAGGCACAATTGAATGCAAAGTCAAAGGAAAGACGTGAGTGGGCGTTAAAATAGATGCAGATGCTCTTTCTGTGCAGCGTAATGGGACTAAGACGATTTGAAAATCTCTCAATAGAGTTTGGCTCAGTCTGAATCGAAACAAAAAGAACACACATGCAAGCTCCGAACAACTCACTGCATGTGTTACTAATTACAGCTAACATCAGCTGTTGGGAGTGAACGGTCCAGGGTTCCTATTCATGTGATTACAATTCACCCTCAAAACTGATGTTGTTTGATTTTGGGGCTTCTCCCTTTCCTGTAGTGCGTTATTTAGGTTTGAATGAATTCCCACCCAAAAACTAGTCACTGGTCACACACTGACATCCATGGAGCCCAGAGGAGTAGAGAGGAGTAGCTGCCGCTTCCTCAGCCTGTTGTGCAGGTCCTGATTAGTGAATGGGAGGTTGCCCCTGGAGGGAGACAATCACAGGGAGAGGGGGAGAGACACACAACATGGCACGTAACACTTGGGGAAAAATACAACACTTTAAAAAAAAAAAAGTCTCAAACATGGGAGTTCATATGTAACCTTGGAAACGGCGGCATGACGAACTAATGTAGATGCAAAAGGTTTATCTGGAGCTTTTAGATCTATCTCAGTCTTCATCAACCAATGAAAAGGGCTACACTGCTGTCACATGACCTGAAGTTTAAACACATAGTAATTTAAACATGCAACAAAATGTACGTCTGTTTTGAAAGAGTGGTGAAAAAACTGTAAGGCACGCCAGTTCACACACACACACACACACACACACACACACACACACACACACACACACACACACACACACACACACACACACACACACAGCTACTTAAGAGTGAAAGACGTTTCATTTCCTTGGCCCACTTTGCCATTATTTTTGATCGAATTCAATACTCTTAGTGAGTCACTGCTTAAGTAACTTACCCAGCGGAGAGCTTAGAAATGAATTCAATTCAAAAGAAATGCTGATACATTACTGTTACGACACGGCAGATTTCAAGTGCATTCAAGGGGACAAAAAGTTGAAGGAGAAAGCACGTCCGTCAAGAGAAGTGGAAGAAACAGGAAACAACACTCGGCATTGTGGGGGAAACTTCTGAAGCAATTGGGAGTCAGGACTCAAAGAGAGACACGATGGAGAGCTGGAGCTTTGATGGCAAACACTGACGGTTTATTTGGAGCTTCGGCCGGAGAATGTCACGGGCCACGAGTTGACCTCACGGTTGAGATGCCACAATCAATTCTGAAGAACTCTTCTGCAGCTCGAGGTTTTAATACCTAAGCAAATGATTCCCTAACAAGTATAGTTGGTTTTCATTAGACAGATTGGAGATTGGCACTCCCTCTGAATAGAAGGGAACTTTTTGAATGCACAAAAACATATATAACACACTACAGGAAAGGGAAAACCCCCGAAAAGCATGATCAGTCCTCTTTAACCTACACTTATTTGTTTGTGTCATCCGCAGAGACATCGCCAGTGCCATAAAGGAGCTGCTAGACACGGTTAATACCGTCTTCAGGAAATACCAGTATCAGAATAGACGGGTAAGTAGGAGGATACATGGAAAAGACAACATTAGTTTTACTCAAATGTAGTGTTTGTGGGATAAGTGGAGCTGAAAGGCTGTCTGTATTTATTGTTTAGGTGCTGGAGCAGCAGAAGAAAGAGTTTGTGAAATACTCCAAGAGCTTCAGTGTCACGCTGAAAACCTACTTCAGAGACGGAAAGTATGAACCCGTTTCCTTTTTCTGTCTATTCACACACTCGTTCTGCCTTTTTACGACACATTTAATAGCTTTTATAGCAGCACACACACTTTCACACACACACACTGTCACCATCATGTAAATGGTTTGTCGTTTGATCACAGCCCCGCTTCTATCAAATCCACCATTGCTGAATAATTCCCTTGACCCATTTCCCGTGGATTCATGCTGGCGTGTGTTCTCTGAAGCCTGACATCCTCTCCGTTTCCCCTCCGCCAGATCAAAGTGTTTCCTGGATCAATCCTAATATTGTTGCCATGGTTTCTCTGCTCTGCTCTGATTGACACGTGTGTCCTTGTGTCTCTGTCACGCTTGTTTTCAGAGTGATAAACGTGTTTGTCAGCGCCAACCGGCTCACGCACCAGACCAACATGATCCTGCAGGCCTTCAAGACGTCGGTGTAGCGGCGCTGGAAGACACACACACACACACACACACACACACACAGGCATCTTTATTAGAGAACAGGTAACATGAGGCTTTGTAATTTGTAAAGAGTTTTATTATTTTGAGCCGTATCATTTATAATTCTGCGGCTTTGGGGGAGATCAGGTAGTTTGAGGTTCAAAGGGAATCAGGTTGACGGTAATTGTCCGGGATTTCTAACTCTCTTTTATGTTGTTCTTTTATCAAGATCTTGAGTCGATATTTCTTATATATATATATTAGCCTCTCTGTTCAGTGCTGTGCAAAACAAAGTTTAGGAAAGAACGATCATTTCCATTGTGCTGTGTCTTAAAAAGCACAATGAAAACCCTTACACATTCCCACATTTCTGCACTTTAACTCATTTTATTGTTTATTCTTCTGTTGTAAAACACCATTCCTGTGTTTATTGTGGAATATAATGTTGATATACCTGTAAATGGTTGTATCATGTACTTTCAGCATTCATCATATTGAATTTATATATGTCAAGAAACCAAAACCTGGAGAAACATTCAGGATGTTTCCAACGTTTGCTTTTTTTTGTCCTGTAATATTCACCCAGTGCATCATAAACACAACCTCTCAAGGTGAACTCACCCGCTGGTCTGTCTTTCTTTTTACTTTAGTTACACAAATATTAGTGTTTGTGTTGTCCGTCTATTAACTAGAAAATAACTCGATGTTGTTGCGATGAAGAAATGATTAAAAAAAAGAGTTTACTTACTGTGGATGTGTACCCTGTCTGCATTTCAGTTGGTTTATAACCCTTTTTCTTTCTTGAGACAATTCCAAAAATGATATCTAATTGTGACATGAGTTTCCTTTTCTTTAACTTTATTTTCCAAGTTTCATTTTCCAACCTTAGGGCACAATTTTCCAGTCAATAGTTTTGAAATGGTGCCAGTACAGTATAGGTCAGGGGTTTTCAAAGTGTGGGAAGGTGAGCCTCCCCTCAGAGAACATAAGAACAGCTGCCCCCACAAAATCATTATTGCTATTATTATTATTATTATTATTATTATTATTACTACTATTGTTGCTATAATGCAGGGGTATTCAATTGCATTTCTCTTCTTGTCTCGTCTCTGTGTGTGTGTTTGAATCTATCGTACTGATGGTGCTGACTCACTGACTGCACCGATTTGCTGAGTAGCGTCACCTCCTTAAAACATTAAACAATAACTTTTTTAAAACCTTTTTATCTTTATGTTTTAAACATATTTTTTTAACATTTTCAACATCGTGGATACATCCTTATATGCTCCCGGCAACACACTGAACGTCCACTTTGCCTCCTTATTACACTCAACCCCACTTTAGTGGGAACAATGAGTCTGCGTCTTTCATGCGCACAGGCGGATGATGCGGGGACGCAATGCAGGCGGGAATAAACGCAGATCATCCTCTGGCTGCAGCCTTGACCGGTACTTGCTTTTGATCAAGCAATGCGGAAAACCCGCACTCACACAGGTAGGTGGAGGTGAAGGGAATGAACACTTTTACAGCCTTTTTGGCGAGGTGGGGGAACTCGGTCTCCACAGACAGCCAGAAGTGTGCAAGTGACGTTTTCTGCCAGACGCTGTCTCCTCTCTCACTTTAGGTAACTTCACTAAAAATCGATCCATGTTGCCGCTCGAATAAAGTTAGCTGAAGTTAACTAGCTAGATTTCACTGTTTCTCGCTATGGTTTCTCGTTCTTTTTCTTTCCCGCTGCGCCTCCCCTGAAGCTCTCTGGCGCCCCCACTCGGAGGCTCGCCTCACACTTTGAAAACCGCTGGTATAGGTGATAAACTAAATAAACATTTAATGTGAATACAACTAATAAAACAATACATTCTTTCATTATCGAACCAGTGAAGGGTCTATTAAAGTGACATAAATCCAATAGTGATGAAACGCCTCCATTGGACTCCTTTGTTTACTTTCGGAACATAATGACATCACTACGTAACACTCACTTTTTAAATCCTGTTTTTATACAATATGAGAATCCACCATGAAACTCTTTGAAGTTAACATTTTATTTTATTTCTAACGGTCATGTTTTTCATTGTAAATGTGGCATACATAACCAACGATGGCAGGATGTCACACTGAGATATATTCAGCAAAGCTTTCAAGGTTTTTGATCCGAAAATCCACTGTTTCGATGTCGGATACTTCACATCAATGAGCAAATCCCTAGTTTTTATTTTGTAGCTCAATCTTACACGGGGAAGTGTGAGGAGGCAACAGCAACTGTGGGAACAACTGAGTGTTTGGAAACAGGCTGGGTTGTAGAGTCCATATTCAAAAGGATTTGAAGGTCATTGCAGCACGCTGAAGGACACTTGATTTGGGAAAAGAGGAAGTAACAGACTTTAAATGTATTATGTAAGACAACAGAACAATGTGATATTAAAGAAGAAACCCAGATATTTAGGATGAAACATGTGTCCTCTGCTCTTGCCTTTCATTAAGCATATTCAGACAGTAGCCTTTACAGCAACAATGAAACATGAGCACATAGTATACTACAGTTTAAAAAAGCAGAAATAAAATCTAAGCTCATAGAAAAATAAGTATAAAGTAGTATACAATAAAAAATACTCGGTAAAGTACAGGTACCTATTGAGTAAATGTACTGTACATCTTGGTGCCAGGGTAACAACCTCCATCTCAACGTCAGCAAAACCAAAGAGCTGATTGTGGACTACAGGAAGCAGCAGAGAGAGGGACATGCCCCCATCGCCATCAATGCGACTGCGGTGGAGAGAGTCAGCAGCTTCAGGTTCCTCGGTGTCCACATCACTGAGGACCTGATATGGACTCTTCACACCACCACCATCACCAAGAAAGCTCGACAGCGGCTCTTCTTCGGTTCAAAATGGACCCCAGGATACTCTGTAACTTCTACAGGTGCACCATAGAGAGTATCCTGACCTTCTACAGGTGCTCCATAGAGAGTATCCTGACCTTCTACAGGTGCACCATAGAGAGCATCCTGACCTTCTACAGGTGAACCATATAGAGGACAGCTGCACCGCCCTCAATCGTAAGGCTTTACAGAGGGTGGTGAAAACTGCACAGAACATCACCAGGACGGAGCTGCCATCCATGGAGGACCTTTACTCCCAGCGGCTCAGCAAGAAGTCCCTCAGGATTATAAAAGACCCCCATCACCCCCAGCCACAAACTGTTCAGTCTGCTGCCGTCTGGCAGGCGTTACCGCAGCATCCGGACTAAAACCACCAGACTCAGGGACAGTTTCATCCCACAGGCAATAAGACTGTTAAACACCTGAACTGTTGAAACAACATCCATAACATTCATCTGCTACTTAGAAATTATTTATCTATTATGTAATATATCATATTCCAATAACTTGCATAAATACTCTTATTGCACTATTTCACTATTTCACTTTTTTAAACTATTTTTCTTTATGTATTTACTATTTACTTGCACTATATTTCTGTTTATCTGTGTTATTGTGTTGCACCGTTGGAGGAGCCTGTGACCTAAGATTTTCATCGTCATAACTACACTGCAGCTATGTTTGTATGACAAAATAAAAACCTTGAATCTTGAACCTTCCTTCCCACCACTGCCTGTATCTATTGCGAGAGATTTCTTTGAATACTTATCCACATTTCAAGTACTTTGAAGCAGCAAATCTTCTATTATGCTTGATTTCATCTTAACTAAGTTTACGCAAATATATGTGAACCTTTATTATTTCTCTTTCTCTTAAGTGAAATGGCACATTCCTTGAACCAAATGTGAAAAGAAAACTCTCAAACAGGAGTAATGAAAAGATTGTTGAAGAGGGGTTTTTCTTTTTTATTAATAATTAAATAGTTGTCACTTGAGAAAGATTTTCAGAAATGGGTCTGTTGTATAAAAGTGTTTCATTTCCACTCAGATGCCCTCGCGTTTTTCTTTCTCTGCATGCACCTCCTTTTTCCTAAGATCCGTACCCCCTTCATATTCCAGCGTCTTCATTCTTCTCCCTGTATAATAGTGGATTTTCCATGGTGGATTTGTGGTGGGGCTATTTTTGGGCTCCCATACATGCACCACTGTAATCCAATTGTGATAGTGTTAATTTGTAAAGCTTTATTATTGAAATTGCTGAGACCTAATTTTCTGATCCTGTCACCACTGAAGACCGCCGTAATCAGCTAATTCAAGTTATTCCAGGCCATTAAGTCACTCGCGGGGATTGGGTCGTGGTCACTGAAGCAGCAGGGGGCGAGGGGAATGATCATATCTGAGTTAGATATATATATAAAACTTTTGAGTGCATTCATGCTTAAAGTCAATATATTTGAAAAATGCAGAGACTATTTTCCTACTTTTTGCAGTGTTGGAAGAAATAGGCTACTCATGTATTTGATTTACGGTGGCCGACAGGTGCAAACATTGCAAAAGAAACAACAAATGAAGAACCATCTTCACCAACTTGACAACACATGAAGCTCAGCGCAAGTTCAACCAAGTTCAACCCTTCTTTACTCATTCATTTACTATTTCCATGTTACTACTCTCTCTCCTCTCAATAAGTGATCGGGGGCGTCACTCCCAATCACTTCAACCTTTTAAATCTGCTCTCCCCTCTGACAGCTGTCATTTCAGGTGACTCGACGCAACCCTCCTCCACCCCTTTTTCACCTCCTGTCCCTCTGAATCCAGGGTCAAGCTAAGCCACTCCCCTTCAGACCGAACCCAACTATCCGTTCACCACCACCAGGGTCTAGAGCCCGGGGGGTTTCATCGGATCGGTTCTCCCCTCCCGAATGATACTCCTGCACAACGGGGCCTAATCTCCAAAGGGGCACGAGATAAGTTTGTGCAAGAGATGGAAGGCTGACAGGCAGGTAGGCCATCCAGTTACTTTAGCCGGGCCGGCTCAGATGATTGGTCGTGCTTTTTACAGTACTACGGCTTCCACAGATGTATTTATTGTCAAAGCATTTAATGTATTCATTGCTATCGGGATGTTAAGAGCATTCCATGGAATATAACAAAAAGTGTTTCTGAAGTAAATTACCTACCTACCCTGCCTTTAAGTTGAGTAAGAATACAAATAAAATGGTCTTCAAATAAAAAATTACAAGTAAAAGTAAACATTTCAGAATTGTATTTATGCAAACATACAAAAGTATGCGATTTAAGTTAAAAAAAAAAGTACAAATT